CCTATTATTGGGCAGAATGAGACCTTTGCCTCAAGCAGTAGAGCTGGAGTTATTGCAAAAAGTCAGGAAATTGTTATTGTTATCTCTTTTTATTCTTAAGCCAGAGTGGTGTAGTGGTTTGAATATTGGACTCTGGAGAGCAGGGTTTGAATCCCTGCCCAGCCATGCATTGCAAAATTAATACAGTTTGATACCACTTTAACCGCCATTGCTCAATGCTATGGAATTCTAGGATTTGTAGTTTTGTGATATATTTAGCTTTCTCTGTTAGAAAGGTCTGGTGCCACAACAAACTACAAATCACAGGATTCCATACCATTGAGCCATGGCAGTTAAAGTGGTCAAACTGCATTATTTCTGTCATTCAGATGCAACCTCAGTGGAGAAGTCACGATCTCTCAGTCTTAGAGGATGGCAATGACAAACTCCCTCTAAAGAAACTTACCAAGAAAATCTGGTTTTCGTTCAAATTAAATTCAAATTTAGTTATCAGATGAGGTGGAACGGGACAAATCCCATAAATTAAAGTCTTCCACTTGTCCGATTTATTTCCACTTTCTCCCCGCGACTCCCCGTGTGATAACATCCATAGTTTCGCCTTTGGGTTGCCATAAGTTGGAAACAACTTGGAGGCACATGACAACAACATTATTAGTTGCATTTTTCCTGCTAGGGAGGTGAACAGAAGTTTTCTTCCTCTGTTCCAAAAATTACTAGGCTGTCTATTCATCATTAGACTGGGGATAATTAACCATTTCATGCTCTGCCCCAAGCAGTGGTAGCAGATGATTTCTATATTGGTAGGGGACTTTCCAGGTTCTAGTCACCACCCTCTGTGAAAGATATTGAATGTATTTGGAGTATACAGTGCCCTGGGTAGCTCCTTTCTTCAGAGAAAAACATGGCATGGAATAGGGACATACTGAGTTAATTCACATACTTCTGCAAGGGAGAATTAATAATTTAATCAATTTCCTCCACACTGCTAGATGCATTTGAAAACTATTTTTCATTTTGTGTGTGTGTTTTAAATGAAGTCCTGGGGGGATTTCTGACTGCCAGGTAGGGGGAGTTCTCCTTTCATGGCATCAGGAGGGTGGCAGAAAACCAGACAAGGATCAGAAGGCAACAATGTTCCAGGATCCTCTCCTGCTTCCTACCTACTCACCATGAAACAGCCATGGGGGTAAGCAAGATGAGATTTGAGAAGCTATAGCCTCTCCTTTTTCATCTACTTTCTTCTTGGCTCCATTTTGCACAACATGGAGGGAAGCCAAGTAAGGATCAGGATGCTTTAGCCTTTCAGTATCTTCTCCTGCTTCTTGCCCGCCCACCCACCATGCAACTTTCATAGGGCTAAGCAAAATGAAGATCAGGAGACTACATCCTCTCCTTTTTTTGGTTCGCATTTTGCACAACATGGAGGGAAGCCAAGTGAGAATCAGGACACTTTAGCCTTCTGGGATCCTCTCTTGACTGTCCCCTGCCCACCTATCCTGCAATAGGAATGGAAACAGGTAGGAATTGGGAAGGCTTTAACTTTGCAACATGTGTTCTGTTAGCTGGTTCATAATGATGCATATGTTGTCATGCTGTAGCTATCTGAATACAGCCTATAAAAATGATCTGCGCTCTCTCCAAGCATGGGAGGACAGGGAATACCAGATGTCAGTGGTAGCTCCCATGTTAGTGAAGTGTGAGTCCACTCTAGGGATGGAAAACATATTTTAATGGCCTCCAGGAATGACAAATTATCTTTATACTAAGGTCCAAAACACACTGCAGAAATAATCCAGTTTGAGACCATTTTAAGTGTCCTAGCTCAATGCTAGGGAATTCTGGGAATTGTAGTTTTGTGAAACATTTAGTCACCTCTGTCAGAGAGCTCTGGTGCCACAATAAACTACAATTCCCAGGATTCCCTAGCACTGAGCCAGGGACAGTTAAAGTGGTCTCAAACTGGATTATTTCTGCAGCATGTTTTGGACCTAAGTTGCAGAACCTTCGTATTTATTGTGAGGGGGCATTCATGGCAGATTGTGCAGCCCCCAGAAGGGCCAACAAAACTGGCCCTTAAACCTGCTGCAGTTCCCACAATAACCAATAGCCAAAATGGACCCAACAGCCAATGGACCAAATAACGGGGGAGGGGGGACCACCCAAAACCAGCTGACAAGCTGGGCTTAGTGCTGAACAATACTATGCCCATCCATGACAGCTTCATCTATTCTAGCTACAAATGCATACTTAACAGGGATGAAGTGATAGATGCATTGGCTAGAATTCTATATGGGAGTTATGTCTCTCCTAATGTGCATTTGTTTCTACAGGATCTGTAGGGCTCTATAAAATTATCTTACATAGAGAGTAATATAGAATTTGGCCATTCGTAGTAATGGAAAAGTCAAATTGACTAGGATTACATCATACTATAATGCAACAAGTTTAAGTATATTAGACATGGTGCTGGGAAACCTGCAAGGCCATGGCCACTGAGATGTGACGGTCTCCTATGAACCATTTATATTATATGGTCCAGCTATTTCAAACTTATAAAGTAAAAAATTGTAAATCAAGAGCATGCACACAGCTTAACAATATGTCAAAGCTGACATTGTCTTCAGCTGCCAGAAAGAGAGCAAGCTTATCATCATTCACCTCCTCAAGCACTGATATGGTCCAATTAACCCTGGCTGTAGACTTCTTTGAAGAAAAACTGAAACATAATGTGCAGATAATTTCCTGATGTTCTCAGACAATGGGGGTGAGGGTGTTCTTACTTTTATTTTTAAAGCAGATTGCAAATGTCTGAGCATCACTTTGCCAGCTAAGAAAATGTTCATGGGGCTTGTCAAAGTCATCCCAAAAATGTCAGGTAGCATCTGTGAATACACTGACCCTTAGTAAAGAGCTACTTTTTTTTTTTTTGGTAACAATGACAACATTGGTTTTCTTTAAAACATGAACTGGCATCCTGTGTCAAGAAGAGTTGCCAAGCAGGATGGGGGGGGGGGGGGGGGAGAGGAAGCTCAGCATGAGGTCCTGCTGGTGGAGGTTGTCCATAATGAATCAACTCTTTAGGGATATGATTCAAACCAATAGTTATGGTGTAAATTAAATTGCAGTCTGTCTCTGGGCTGCCAATTGTCTTGCATCCTTAAGCTTGCTAGCTAACTGCTGTATATGTTTCTCATCTTTCCTGCTCATCCCAGGTGGATGGATTCTGTGGACAATGAACAAAAAATGAGGGGGGCTCTGAATATCCAATTCTGTTCCTTTCCCAGTAGCTTTGTTAGTAAGAAAGACATGGAATGGCATTGATTTGCACTAGATGTTTGGAAC